AAAAATTAACCAGGCATGGTGGTGTCCCAGATACTCAGGAGGCTGAGGCAGGAGAATCACTTACCTGGGAGGTGGAAGTTGCAGTGAGCTGAGATTGTGCCACTGCACTTCAGCCTTGGTGACAGGGTGAGACTCTGTCTCAAAAAAAAAATAAAAAATAAAAAATATAAAAAATAAATAATTAATTAAATAATAGAAAACAAGCATTTCTTCCTGGGCATTAAAGGACATGGTCATCTTTTCCATCCCCACTCCTACTCCTACCTCTACTCCCTGCCACTGCACCTGTGTCAGTTTTAGCTTTGGTGAGGTTTCAGGAGTGGCGGGGGAGAGTAGGTACAGGAATGTATGCTACAGAGTCTAGTAAGGGTCTCATTCAGCCTGATGGACAGATCTGGGAAGAACACTGTAAGCAGTCTTGCCATGCTAACATGACAAATTAAAGTTATTGTTACATTCTTTCATTAGGATGATGCATTCAAATCTAAACTTCTCTGATTCTGCTTGGCCCGTTATGATATGGAACCAAGTACAAGCCATAGTTCAGAAGGAGCAATCAAACTCACAAAATCATATCTACCTAAAGACTCACGCATCCCAAGGGGAAAAAATATGTGGACCCATGAGAATTAACTAACAAGAGCAGAACGCAGCAACTAAAGGCAGTTGGTACCATTTCTATCGCATTCATAAAGAAAGCCAATTAATGGGTCATTTTTATTTCTTAAACCCCCAATTTGTTTGAACCATAGGAATGGCCTCGAGAAAATTGAAATGGGCTATGAGTAAATTATAGACATTATCCCAAAAGCCACTCTGCAAGATTTTCTCTCCCAACCAAATTTGACAGAACTGTGTTTTCACTTATAACTGGCTATCCATTGTAAACCACATTAACATACTATGAAAAACTTACTTTCTCTGTTTTTCATCAACCAGCTGTGTTAAGATCCCTTTCAGTTGAGAATTAACTATTCTATGGACCATTTCCCATTGATACCATCATCAGCAGTACTAGTACTAGCCTAGTTTTTAAATGATTTGTTAGTACTTAAAAACTAAATGAAGTTAAAAACAAAAACTTCTAGAAATTTTTAAAATATTTTCTCTAATAACATTTTGGTCTTCGTTTATATGAAGTGTTATTGATATTTTTGACATTGAGAATATGTATATCATAATTGAAATATTTCCTAAGAACCTATTCAGATACACATTTTGCTATTGATATACCTAATCCAGTTTATTAAGCTTTGCAAAACTATACTGTTGAATTTTTTAGCATAAATTTGTCTTCTTTTTTAAATTGAACAAATCTCTAGATTAATGATTCATTTCATTTCATTCACCAAATATTTGAATTCCCCTGCCTTATATATATCTCAGGCAGTAATCTTAACGTAGATCATCTTTCACTGATGGAATTATTGGGAACTTTCTCACGTGGGACAGTTGCCCCCTCCTTTTCTGGTTATCTCTGCCACTCTATACTTTAAAAAGTCCTGCTTTCTAGCCTGCTTTTGATACAGATGATGTTCCTGTGCTTGTCATAGAAATGAGTCCAGAAGTCACTAATAGTGATTTTAATCTGATACATTAGTTATTGATCTGCTGCAGTAGCCATTTGCAATGGTAGTTACACCAATTTGAACCTAGCCTGCAGGACCTAGAGTCTAAGTCCCAATATCTGAATTATTTAGCATCTTTAAGACAGTTCTACCTTGTGACCTCCTGCTCCATCCCCCAACCAGATAAAGCTGGGTGGCTGAGTTGTCTAGATTTTAAGCAGTGGCCACAAATTGTTATCTCCCCATGTCCAAAAGATTGTAAGCATGAGATATTTAGACATTTGGAATTTGTGAGGATAAATTTCTGAGAATTCAAATTTAAGGGCTTAAAGAAATTCTCATGAGGGCAGGCTATGCACTTTTTTTTTTCTTTTTTCTGAGATGGAGTCTCAACTCTGTCCCTCATGCTGGACTGCAGTGGCGCCATCTCAGCTCACTGCAACTTCTGCTTCCCAGATTCAAATGATTCTCCTGCCTCAGCCTCCCAAGTAGCTGGAATCACAGGCACCCACCACCATGCCTGGCTAAATTTTGTATTTTTAGTAGAATGAGGTTTCACCATGTTGGCTAGGCTGGCCTTGAACTCCTGACTTTAGGTGATCCACCCGCCTCAGCCTCCCAAAGTGCTGAGATTACAGGCGTGAGCCACTGCGCCTGGCCACTATGCACTTGTGTCTTTGGCTTTCTAGCTCATCATTGAGGAAATCAGTAGTTATCTGCTTAGCATTCAATGATTACTCTTGCTAGAAGTGGTAATTTATTTTGACAAAAAAACAAGCATAATTTTCCCATCTTAAAAAAGAACTGACTTTAATCCCACATTTTCTTCCAGCTAACACACCATTCTCTAATATCCATCCCATTTTTCTGTTTTACTTTGCAAAATAACTTCTTAGAAGAGCTTTCTTTCTTCCCCCTGCTGCCTCCCGTTCTTGCCTCCCATTCCTTCCCCTTTCCAGTTTAGCTGTTCATCTTTACCACCCATTGAAAGTGCTCTTGTCAAGGTCACCAGCTGTCTTCATACTGCCAATTCCAAATGAGGCATTTTCTGGCCTCATTTCAGGTGCGTTCTCAACACAGCAGATGTTACCTCTTTCTTGGCACACTGTCTTCTCCCAGCTGGCATGGCACACGGTCTCCTCACATTTTCCTTCATTGGCCATTCTTTCTCAGTTTCCCATGCTGCTTTCCCCTCTTAGATTCCTTCACAGTTTCCTCTAGACCCCTTTCTTTCCTCTCCTTTCTCTCTCTTCCTAAGAGGTTTTATTTAGTCTCACAGTTTTCAAAACCATGAATAAGCTAAATACTCCCAAGTTTTATTTCACCAAGATAGACTTTTCTGAACTCCAGATTCCTGTCTGTATCCAACAGCCTGCTTTATATCTCTATTTGGAAATCTCAGATATCTCAAGGGTTTAGATATATTCTATATTTTGGGTTGGCTCATGTTTTAAACTGGAATTTATTTATTATTATGTTGAAACCATATAATAGATAAAACTCCAGGACTGGAATATTCTTTTTTCTATCTTTGCTCTTTACCAAGGTGAATTTTTCAATTCCTAGTTCATCTCCAAAATACATATCTCCAGCCCAAACATTTCCTAATCTTCAGACTCATTTATTAAGCTGACTAATTTTTTTGTAGAAACAGGGTCTCTCATGTTGCCCGGGCTAGTTTCTAACTCCTGAGCTCAAGCTATCCTCCCACCTCAGCCTCCTAAAGTGCTGGGATTACAGGGATAGGCCACCACACTCCACCCCAGCTGCCTAATTGATATCACCACTTCCAATTCACAGATATCTCAAACTTTGTATTTCTCTTAAATTTTTTGAATAGCTGGATCTTGCTCATGCTTTATGTCTCATACATCCCAGAGAAGGCTTCTCTGTCCACACTATCTAATGTAGGTCTCTCTTGTCCTTCTGTATCTCAGGTTTTTTCAAATGACACATCATAATTTGTAATTATTTGTGGTTAATTTGCCAATATACTTTTGCCTCTCCCACTAGACTGTAAGCTTCATAGGGGCAAGAACTCTGTTTTATTCACCATTGCATCCTCAGATTTTGCACAGTAACTGGCACATAGTTAAGTGTTAAGTAAATACTTAGTTCATCGTCCCCCAATAGAACTTTCCAGGAAGTCCTTTATTTACTGTATTCAAATGAATCCAGGTGTAACAGTGCATTGAATTCTAGATATTTATGTACCAGATACTGGGAACACTCTCTGTACTTGTTTTGTTTTTATCTTTTGAGGATTATTAAAATCATACTGAAGTCTTTTCCTATTGTAAATTTCATGGTTAAGGAAAATAATTTTCTTCTTTGGTAATGCAATCAGTGCTAATTAAATTTCTTTATTGCCAGGATGGAAGGTTAACATTTCATCCAGGAAGTCAGGTAGTGAAACTTCCTTTTATCAACTTTATGAAGGCACGTGGGACTTCCTTTCTGAATGCCTACACAAACTCTCCAATCTGCTGCCCATCACGCGCAGGTATGAACATCCTTAATGTGAATGGAAGAAAGTGGCTAAACACTGAAAATATATCCACAATTTAAAAGATTATACCTAAAAGTAGAATAGTTTGTTATATTTGGCCTCATTAAAACTTCTTGAATATAAAAGATGTACATGTTAAGGTATATATTGGCTGTGGGGGTTGTTCAAATTGTAATGAATTTTTCAAGAGTAGGAATTTTTATCATTTAGAATGGTGTCTAGTTCATGTGTTACTGTTTCATTTCCTTTTGACTGGGGATTAACAATCTTTTTTCCATCCATGAAAATGAGAGAGTACTCATATTTCCTAGAAGAGTTCTGTTTCCAGGGAAATTTTTCAGGAACAATATAGGTAATTGGGAGGACTTCTGTGAACATTAGCGTATACCATAAAGTATTACAACTTATATTCAGATTTACCTGAATTTTTTCTTATTTCAGATTACATACTTTACCTCTTTCTTTCAGTCTCAATTCACTTTTATCCTAAATCAGACTGTTCACTTTTATTATAATAATTTAACAAATAGGCATAGTTTTATTGGCAGAATGTCAGTGACATTAAGTCATGAATAATTAACAAATAGGAAAAAACTGCCATTTTTATAAAATTATCTATTGTATCATAGTTGTTTTCCTTTTCCCCTGTTTTCCAGTTTATGATTGTTGCCTTGGAATCCATAAACTCAGTGATTTGCTTTGTCTGTAAATGAGATGATTTTCTCTGTGATTCGAGTTACAACTTTTTTCATCTATATTTTCAGGACTATCAACTATGTTATTACCAGTGATTAAAAAAGAAATTAAACTATATTGTAAATGATATTTCAATAATGAAGGCCCAGGCATATTAAAAAAAACAGTTTTGTTAACTGTAAAGTAGAATGAGCAGTGGGCTTGGGTAAGACAATGACCTGGATGCTAATCCTCAATGTACCATGTCAAGCAAGTCACTCAGTCTTCTTATCTGCAAATTGCTGTGTGTACTGTGTACCTCACAGGGTTGTTCTGAGCATCACATTAAATAATGAGAAAGTGGCCAATGAACTCTAGAGGTCTCCAAAATGTTAGATGTTATTTTTCCTGGAAGAAGTATATTCTGAAGAGTAAATACAACAAGGTTAAATAATTTATCAAAGGCTACTCAGTAACTGTTGTTATTGGGATTCAAACCCAGGTGATCCCCTATTCCACCTCTCAGAAAACATCTTGCTAGATGAAAAGAGAAAGCTGACTCTAACTTTCTATTTATGTACACAGAATGGGAAAAGGAAAAAAAGTATTTATTGAATAAACAATCATAGTTGTAGAAAATGAGAGATGAGGCATAGCACACTTAGAGTTTTTGTGGAAAGCCAGCAAAAGGACAGGGAATAAGGGAAGATCTGAGGATATTGAGGAAATGAGATCTATACTTCAATTGACTAATTTAGAAACTTAACCAATAAATACTTAGGGATTGTTTTTATGATTGAAAGAGGCCTTTAGTCACACAGGCTTTATATTTAATTCCAGCTATATTTACCTTAAGTAACTTAACCTTTAAGCATTAGTCAACTCATCTGTGAAATGGAAGTGGTAACTCCCCACAGAGTATCCACCTGATAAAATGAGATAACAGTCAGGAATGTTTGGTAAAGCACCTAATCTGGGTACGTCTCATTGCAGAGCACGAGCTCTGCACCAGTGGACTGTTCTCTCAGAGTAATTGTCTTAATAGTCAAATTGTTAAGCTTCACTTTAATCCCAATTCTTTTTTTTTTTTTTTTTTTTTCTCAGCAATGTGGAGTGGTCTCTTCACTCACTTAACAGAATCTTGGAATAATTTTAAGGGTCTAGATCCAAATTATACAACATGGATGGATGTCATGGAGAGGCATGGCTACCGAACACAGAAATTTGGGAAACTAGACTATACTTCAGGACATCACTCCCTCAGGTAAAAATTATAGTCTTCACGAACTGCCCTCTGTCATAGCGTATGCATGTACACTTTTTGACTTTAATTTTTTTAATTTTTCCACTAAGGTGAAAGTAAATCTCTTAATCCCTTGATTGTGTTAATTGGGCTGAAATTTTAGCCTTCTTTAATCTTCCTGAAACATTAAAATTGCTCATATACTAATGATTTTGTTTTTCTTAAACATTAAAGGTTTACAGTGTTTGTAAAGTTGTTTAGCCCATGCTTTATTTTCATTAAATTTCCTTTATATAATGGCTACTGTATTATTAATTTTAAAATCTGTTTTTAAAACCACAGCCTTCTTGCTTCTTTCCTTGGTCAGTTCCCTCCAACTTGAGTCTATTGTAACCTTTTTTTTCTTTCATTTTACAAAGTCCTCAAAAACCAGGCAGCCAAGCATAGTGGTTAAGAGCAGAGGTCAAGAATCCGATTGCCTACTTTTGAATTATAGTTTCTGTTTATTACTAGCATTGTAGTAGTCTGATCTTGGACACATTGTCTAGATGTAGACACTGTAATTTCTTTGCTGTGAGGATTAAATGTATCACTAAGTTCAGAAAAGGGCTAACTTAGGAGGCCTGAGACTGCTATACTTAGAAAGGCCTGCTTGCAAGGTTGGCCCTTGTCTGGCATCTGGGAACTTAGATTTCAGGAGTATTCCTACTATTCCTTAACTGGTAAGAGTGGCCTATTATGTGCCTGGAGCATTTGTATAATGTGGCTTATGCCAATTACCAGCTTTCCTTCCAGGAGTCTGGAATTTTGGCCTGTGCTAAGCAGAGGGTGCTTATGTAGTCAGCACCCCCGCCAAAGAAACTTGGGTTCTGATTCTCTAATGAGCAGAAACAACACTTCACATGTGTTGTCACAATTTGACGGTGGAAGAATTATGTCCTCTGCGACTCCATCTGGAAGCTCGTGCCTCATTTCTTCCGAACTTTGTCTTAAGCACCTTTTGCCTGATTTCACTGCGTATCATTTTATGTAATAAATTATTGCCATGAGTGCAGCTATATTCTGAGTTCTGCAATTCCTGCTACTGAACTTGGGTGTGATCTTGGAATCCCCCAACACTTGTGACCCCCAACACAAATACATATTAGGGGTTAGAGTGCCTCTTTCTTACCCAGGCGAATGCTAATTGAAGGTTATTGGTAATGGTTGTTGTGATGGTGATAATACTGATGATGATAAATAATAAGAAAAAATTCAGGTAACAAAAATAGTGATGAATGTAGTGGGTTGAATAATTCCCCAAAATTTCATGACCACCTAGAAAGAACTTCAGATGTGGCCTTATTGGAAAATAGACCTGTTTGCAGATGTAATTAGTACGGATCTCAAGATGAAATAATGACTGCTGTCATTATTAGAAGAGGAACAAGGACATAGGCACACATAAAAGAAAACAATGGGAAGACAGAGGCAGAGACAGTAGTGATGCAGGTGCAAGCCAACGAAGGAGAGATTGCCAGGAGTCACCATAAGTTAGGAAGAGGCAAGGAAAAATTCTGCCAGAGCCTTCGGAGGCTCCTTGATTTTAGACTTACAGCTTCCAGAACTGTGGGAGAACAGATTCTTGTTGTTTTAAGCCACACAGTTTGTAATAATTTATCCTGACAGTTCTAGGAAATAAATACAGTGAGCTTTGGGTAAACAGACACTAAAATAATCTAGAATCATCTGAACATTAATATTGCTCTCCTGGTTACTGTTAAATTTCTTTCCTTTTCTGTCCTCCAAAATCTGAAAGAAAGCAGTACAGGACATGCAGAAGCCATCCTGACATTCCTATTCTTTATTCTGTCTTCTAATGCATTGCCAAATGTAGTCAATTTTACTTCTGAATTATTTCTCCAATTTATTCACATCTCACCATCTCCACCAAGCTACTCTCATCTCTTGCCTAAGCTATTAAAATGGACTTCTACCTGGACTCTTCTTACTGTATTTCTATAGGAAGCCAGAATGATCTTTCTTAAATGTATGTCTGATTACATGACACACTTGCTTAAAATCCTTCAATGGTTTCTCTCTGCAAGTTAGTTAAAATCCCAAATCTACAACATGATTTATGAGACCCTACATGATCTAGCCCCTGCCTACCCCCAGTATCATTTCACACCACTCTTTCCATCCCTCAGTATGTACCTGGTCTTTTAAAACTTTCCTTAACATGCGTTTTGCTACTTCTAGACTATCGTACGAGCTAGTTTCTCTGTGCAAAATCCTGTTCCCCTACTCTGCCCTGCTAATATCAGAAAGAAAGGGCGGGAGAGGAGGTACCTGTAGGAGGAGGAGCACAGGCTTTGTGTCTGTCAGAGCAGTCAGATGCCCAGCTTCCCTGCTTACCAGCCTTGTAACCTTGGGCAAGTTATTTGATATTGAGTGTCAATGTTCTGTAAGAATTATTGGGCAAGTTACTTGGCATTAAGTGTCAGTGTTCTGTAAGTTATCTGTAAGAATTAATGATACCTACCTCATTGGATGACTGTGTTTTATATGAGTTAAAAGATACTATATAAGGATTAAGTGGAATAATAAAAAATATTTAGCAGTGCCTGGCAAAGAGTAAGCAATTACTCAATGGAAATATTATTATTATGAAAATGGCTTAACCAGAATTGCAGTCTAACATTTATATAACCATCTTTTTTTTTTTTTTTGAGATGGAGTCTTGCTCTGTTGCCCAGGCTGGAGTATAATGGCGCAATCTCAGCTCACTGCCACCTCTGCCTCTCAGGTTCAAGCAATTCTCCTGCCTCAGCCTCCCGAGTAGCTGGGATTACAGGAGTGTGCCACCACACCAGCTAATTTTTGCATTTTTAGTAGAGACGGCATTTCACCATGTTGGTCAGGCTGCTCCCGAACCCCTGACCTTGTGATCTGCCTGCCTTGGCCTCCTTGGCCTCCCAAAGTGCTGGAATTACAGGTGTGAGCCACCATGCCCAGCCATAACCATCATTTTTCTAAAGTGCTTTGCATTGCTAGTTACCTTATGGAGTTTCACAGATTTCTCTTTAAAATCTTTCTCCTTTTTAGAATGTAAGCCCAATCTAAAGTAAGATAATAACTTATCTTGTTTATTGTTTATAATAAAAATTATCTAGGATTCAATGCCATATATTCCCTGTAACTTTTATTCTTATATGTGACATGATTAAAATATGACCCAACCTTTCCTTATTCTACAGCAGGATAATTATCCATGGAGAGCAAGGACTTTAATCTCTCTTTCTCTGCTTTATCCCCGTTTGCCAGCATAGTACCAGTACATTGTAGGTTCACAATTAAATTTTTGATGAATGAATGAATGAAAAAGTTATTTTGAAGTACCTATAGTTTATTACTTGATAAACATTGATATTCTGTGTAACACAGAATCATATCACTTGTTCCTTATCAGTATTTTGTATATATCTGCAACTAACAGATGATATCCTAAGTTTTTTTAACTTTTTAAATATTAATATTTAGAAGTTCTTTCTTTGTCACATGGAATTCTAAAATCAGTAGAGGAAAAAAACCACTTAGATGTTGATATTTGGGGGATGTCAAAAGATGGTTTTCAGGGCATTACTTGGTTAAGGCATATTTTCTTGTACTCACAGTCTCATCAGAGCTTAGGAAATTGAAATAAGCCACCAGGAATATTTTTATGAGTGCTATATATACCCACACAGACATTTGGCTGACAAATAGGTTAAGGTCGCTGCTAATATCATGTCTGAAGGTTATAGGAATTATAGCACATTATTTTTCAGTGCAAACTTAAAAACGGGTCTCAGAACAAAACATGGTCTCTCAACATCAAATTTCATAAATAGGGGCATTCGGTGTTGTTGATAGATTGACTTTCAAAATCAAAATGTAAGCTATTATAACTCTTTACTACTCAAACTGGCCATTTTTGAACCTGCTTGTATTTTCAGCCAGAATTATAGGTTTCTTTATTATTATAATACTTCCATCTGTCTTCTTTAGGCACCAGTGTTGCTACGAATTTAGGAACACTAATCCAATTAAGTGTCTCTTATTATATATAACATACCACACCATATTAGGATCTCTGTGGGCTGCACAGTTGTTTCGTCTATACAATTGTTAAAGAGATACAGGTAGTATTATTCATAAAGATGCCATTTGCTGATGATGAGACCTTGGGCAGTAATTTATCTGCTTAGAATCCCAGTTTAGTCTAATGCGCTTTCACTAGATGACTTCAAAAGTTCTTCTACTCTGAAATTCTATAACTTCAATGGAGTACAGTTAAGTGGTTTATAAATTTCTGATACTCATCTGTCCCTCACATTATATGTATTGTGTTATAATGGATTTAAATTCAAATTTACTATGTCTTCTTACCAATTGAAAGAAAACTTTTGTATTTAATTCATAGGGTATTTTGATTATTTTTGCTTTCCTATATATTCCCAATGTCTAAAATGGTGGTTTTTAACTGAGGGCAGTCACTTTCCCTGCCATACCCCTCCACCTCCACCCCTTGGTGCCAAGAGGACATTTGACAATATCTGGAGACATTTTTGGTGTTAACAGTGGGGTTATTTTGCTGGCATCTTGTTGGTAGAGGCCAGGGTTGCGGCTAAACAGTCTATAATGCACAAAACAGCCCCTTTTCTCACAAAGAATCATCAAGTCCAAAATGTCTTAAGTATAGTGATTGAGAAAACATGTCTAAAACTAGATGTTTTATGCTCATCAGCCTGCATCTTAGGAATGTCACACTTAAAATAATTGCCTACATTTTAAATATTGTTTATTCTTCCATATTCTAAGGGATCAGATCTACTTGACACTAGTACATCAATTTTTTTAGAATTAAAAAAAACAAAGAAAATTTATAGAATTGTGTATAGAAAGTGTATAGAATTAGGAGGTAATTTTATATAGAAAATTTTTAAAACTAAATTTCTAACATCAGTATAATACAAAATTTAATATTAAGTAGAATTTCT